GCGCCGAGGCTTGACTTAAGTTTCTATTGTTGAAGAGCTATCAAGAGTCTAGCGAGAAGTAGAGAGGGGAGCATATACAGTTTACGCCGAGGATTATAACACTGTGCTGTTCGTCACAAAATTGTCAAACACGAACATTGTGAAATGTAAAAAGTGAGTGAGCTAAAATATAACCAGCTATTTTGAGGCACTTTTACTGAGAAGAAAAATAGAAATTAGCCCAATCTTTCAGTCTTTCAAATCATTTCAAAACATGAGTCCTACACTTAATTACACAATAATGACTATTGCTTTAATAGAATAGTTACGTACGAAACAGTGGAGCTGTTTGGGAAAGACTTTTATGAGAGATACAAAACACGTACCAGCAAAGAAGAAATTATTTTTAGGGATTTGCAGACACAATACTGGTATCAAATATCAGTGCAGATCCATGATAATTAGCTGGATCGGGTATCGGGTCTGTTGTTATCCTGGTTGGGCCCATAAATTAATGTAATAAGACTACTGGTCATGTTTGAACTTTAATACAAAGATGTTATGTAGTTACTTGAGAGATCAATAACAGCTATATAACATATTTTATAACATAATATTTTTAGTTTTTAGGAAAATAAAGTCTATTTTTAGTCTCTCCGCTGGTATCAGTTGATATTCGGTATTGGTTTGTACCGGAACTGAAAAAGCTTATTATTTTTTGCATAACTGTAGTTAATTTGAAATATACTATAAAGGTATTGAAGATTATAATAAAGAGAATATCGCAAATCGCAAAAAGGCAATCCTGGGTAAATTTCTCGGCACTATACTCAAATGCATTTTCAGATCTACTTTTAGCTACACTGTTTGACTTAAGTTTGACCATTGCTGTTGTAGAGATGTGTAAGAACTAGGAATGTAACAGTATCCAAGTCTCAAAGGTACAATATCGTCACAGTATGAACCTCACGATACGATATTTACTGCAATATTTTGTGGAGGCTCACAAAACTGTGAATATGCTACTTTTTCCTCTAAAAATGCCTTCACAAGACTTAATCCAAAGGATTAAGACTTAAAAGTGCCTAGAACTGTTATTTCTTCAGGTAGTCCACACTGAAACAGAGAAAAGGATCATGATCTATGTAGTTCCCTCTGTTTTTTTAAGCTATTTCTGCATCATAACTATCCATTTACGCAAAGAGACTTGTGATTCAATATATTGTGATGGTCCACGATATTATTATGAGAACTTTGATGTTACGATATGACAATATTGCAGTTATTGTTACATCCTCAGTAAGAACAGTAAATCCTATATACTAATTGTCTTAAGACCAAACTGACTATAATGTTTCAGTCTTTCACATCAGATCAACAGATTTCTCGTCTAGTTTCTTAAGTAAGCCGCACTTCTTATATAGAATTTCTTCTTTGAAAAGATCTGTCAATTGATGCGTTGCCATCACTACCACCACCGCCACATTACCACACATTGTGTAGAGACTATTTGAAGGACTCAGGCTTTAGGTGCCCTTGTGAGACTGTATATGGACAGGCTATACTACCCTCCCTGCTTCATCCATGGCTGTATTTATTTTTCCTATTTAACCTTCTCTTCTGGCAACCGCGGTGACAGATGGGCTGAGAGGCCTTGGGATCGATGGGAGGGGAATTCTGTCTTTGTTTCCTGACATTTTTCCCATAGCCACTCACTTTGGACTCAAGTTACTTACTGTCCAGGCCAAAGGAAAGACAGCCGGCACAATCAGAGAGCCAGAAGGAAAACTGATCTGGCTCTCCACAGCTTCACAGGAAACTTAATGCCCATGGCCAGGTCCCTCTACACAGGTTTATGTTGAATTATAGAATAGAGCACCCAGTGGCCATGTGCATCCGAGGACCGCCATGTAAACAAGACACGAGCGGAGTGTCTGTTTGGGACATCGAAACGGAAGTGGACGCTATTAGCGACGCGTCTGCATTACGTAGTCTTATTCATCACCGCTATGAAACTTAAAGCCAAGTGAACTGTCGGAGCAGCCGCTGTCCAGCGTGCTGCTACAATAGCGCCCGTTAGCTAATAGTGTTTTCAGCTAAAGTGCAATCATTAAAGAGGCCCTGCGTAGGTTTTTGGAAGAGGGACCTGACACCATTTTGGCTCTAGTTGCTACTAAGGGATGTAACAATAACCGAAGTATCGTGATATTGTATCGTCAAAGGTCTCTCAAATAATATCATGGGATGTCACTATATATCGAATCACAAATTAATTTGCTTAAATGCATTGTTTTATAGTAGCAACAGCTCAGAAACAAAGGGAAATGCATATGCTATGATTCATTTCAGTGCAGACAACATGAAGAAATGTTTTGTTTTGGGTTTTTTTTCTTTTTTTTACTTAAATTCTTGGGATTATGACATTATTGATTTGCACTGACTCTTGTTAAGGTATTTTAAAATCCATAAGTATCCTTTCTACAATAGCTTCTCTAAATGATCGCAATAAATATCGTACCGTGAGATGCATATTGTGATAATATCGTACCGTGAGTTTTGGATATCGTTGCTACATAAACACATGTTAACTCCAAGGCATTAAGTATCCAAATTATCAGTCTTGTATGAGTTATTAGGTGATTTTGAGCTCATAGGGTCCATTAAAATCTACCTTCTGTAATTACGATTGGCTGACCCGACTCAACTGAATTTTCACCTATCACCACTCTATGCTATATATGTTATGCAACTAACAAGCACTAGGTTCTTATTAAAACCCCTTTTTCACATTTTTGCTTTGACATTATTGACATCATTGCCAGTTCTTTGTGTCGAATCAACCAGATCAAATTAATCTTCAGTAACATCTGTCAATTTCCACATAACGCCTCATACATTTCTTGAAAATACTATTATATTATTCATTCATTCTCTTCAGTTCATGAAAAGGCAGTTCCTGGTTAGCAGTGAAACATGTTGCATGACAGACTAGCAATTAGTGTGTCCCTGTGATGAGGAAGCCCAACGGTCTGCGTGTTGACCTTTGGCCTCTGCAGCTGGCTCGTCACAAAGGCAGAGGCAGAGACTGAAAGTGGGAACAACAGACAGTGCATGGGCTCCCCTGGTGGGAACACGTCAGCCTTCATCACGGTCATCGTAACACAGCCTCCAGTGGAAATACAGGGGCCAGGACAGACTGGACAGAGCCTCATTACCAGGAACAGTTGTAAGGAATATGAATACAGCCAAAAGGATATATTCAAATAAAATACATGAGCTATTCCAACAGTTTTACTCTAAACTACATTGCTTCTAATATCTGTATTAGAGCAAAAAGAAGAACTATCTCAGATCCAAATCCGGACCATGAGTTTTAGAGTGATGAAAATCCTTGACATGACATTCAACAATTCAAAACACAAAATTGAATTTTTTGAAAGGTGAAAAGCACTCAAAATGTAATCTAAAACTCAAGATATAAAAAGGAAATGCTAGTAAATATGTAGAGAAGTCATATAAACCAGGTCTATTTCTACCAATCAATGATACTGATACTGAGTCTAACCATTCTAAGTCTAACCAAATACTTCACTATGAAAAAACCCTGGGCTAAATTAGGATAAAACCAATAAAACACAAAGAGCAATGCGGAATCAGATCTTACACAAGTTGCAGCTTTACAACAGTCATAAATCTTGAGTAAAGTAAAATAAAACGTGGCTCGTTTTTATAGGAGGACCACTCTAGTTCAGGAGCAATAACGTAAATACAGATCACGTTGGTGTAAATGTCTACATCTGCGGAGCTACACGGCTACACAGCACTGTCTTAAAGCGAGCCTTAATCCTCGTCTGACACTACAGACTTTTAATGAGCTTAGGACCAAAGACACAGGGAAGTTATCACGTTAGCTGGCTTACACTCGAAAATACGGCCAATAAAGACGGCCAAAGTAGCCACGGAAATAAGGCAATCTCGCTAATCTCCGAGGATTAAAACCACTATTAAGGAGGGTTTATTTAGGACAAGGCATGCTAAAGTTACAGCCACAGAGTGCAACATACGATATCATTAACAAGAGGAAGGGAAGCAGGCAGCAGCAGCAGACAAAATGTGGTGTTGCCAACTAAGGCCATGCTCGTTTGCAGTGTGAAATTCAATATACAGAGTAAAGAATGCAATTTGTCATGTTATCCATTAGAATTACAGCATTAGCATTCCTGTAAATAATACACTCTAACCAATTATCTTCATTGCGAGGTTTAATAAAACTCATATGATTGAACAGTTGGTACATATAGCCACATATATATAACTACGTGCATAACAAAGGACTGACAATGAACAAAAATGGAAACAACATTCAATACTAAACTCCAATGATTTGTAATGTTCTTCTAAAGTGCAAAGTCATTTTATAGTTTAACCTTTTCTAATCTTAAAGTGCGATGAGAAATTTCAGCTATGATTAATTTCTATGAGACACTGGTCAGTTGATAACAATAAATAAAACATGTATAATTTTGGAATAGTTCTTCTGCTAGTAGAAATTATAGTTATAGTAATAAAACATTGCATTAAAGAACTGCCTGTTTAGAGCACTGCTGTCTACTTACTGCTAGTGAAAGATGGAGAATTTGTTTTGATTCGAGGTCACAATGCCGAGCTTACAAAATCAAAAAGATTATCTAAAAATCTCCAATGAGGGAGTGACTAATGAAATTTTGACAGGGGAAGTGATTACAAAAGGCTGCGGTGACATATTTTGAGCACAACTGTTGTGTGTGGCTGTCAGTGCGCACCAGAATGACTGTTTAATCCTTCTAATGCCCCCTCCCTCCCTCCCTCCTTCCATCCCTCCACCCATCTCTCTCTCTGTGCTTCTGTGCCTCTGGGCTTCTGCCTGCTCTTGTATATTCTCTGCCTCTCTCCTTTTTTCACAGAACGAGGAAATAGCCTTTTTGGTTCAGATAGTGATGGGGAAAACAGTGAGGAGTGAAGAAAAGTGCAATTTGTCTTACCTGAATGATAGACATGCGGTTAGTAGGTGTGTCTGTAGTGCTGGTGACTGGGCTTGTGAAGCTGGTGTGGCATCCCACGTGGCCTTGGGGCACGCTGAGGCTATTGGCAGTGGGTTTGAGGTACATGACGTCTGACCTTGGTGAGCTGAGTGGCAGGCGTGTCTGGTAGTCAAAGTACATGGGAGAGGTGGCCAAGGAAGGACTGCTTACCACATTCATCACATTCATGGCATCGCGCTCCTCCACCTCGCTCTGCACCAGCATGATGTCGTTCTTGTTTATCTTCTTCTTCTTGCCCTTCCCCAGCTGAGGGTGTGAGTACTCTGCTATTCGACAGTTATAAGTTCGTATTTCCTTGTTTTCCCGCTTACATTTGATCGCTATAGTCACCATAGCGGCTAAAAGCATTATAGATATGATGCTTAGAGTCACAATTAGAGGCAAAGACATGTCCCAGTTCTGTCTGTCCGTAACGTGAGGGGCCCCGCCAGAGAGGGGTCCATTGGAAGCTTTGATTATTAGCCTCGCCGCGGCTGTGAGCGTGGGCCTGCCGTGGTCCGACACACGGATGATAAGCTCCACATTGGGGCTCACGTCCTCCCAGAATTGGTGGGCTGTCCGCACCTCCCCCGTCACTGGGTCGATCTCAAAAAGATTTTCCTCATTACCATCCGAAATCTCATATGTGAGTCTTCCGCTCTCCCCATAATCATTATCCACCGCTCTGACCGTAGTGACAATGTAGCCGACGCCAACGTTACGAGGGACGTGGATCTCGGCTGTGTCATTCAAAAGGAGAGGAAGAACTATAACTGGTATGTTGTCATTCACATCCAAAACACTGATGCGCACTGTTGCGTTGCTCTCGAGATGCGGAGAGCCTGCATCTTTAGCCAGAACCTTGAAATCAAAATACTTAATTTGCTCATAATTGAAGGATCTCACTGCATATATAGCTCCATTGGCTGCATTCACATTGACATACGTGTTAACATCTCCACCGCTCACATTAGAGTTTATTATGCTGTAGTAAACAGTCCCATTTTGCCCTAAATCCGGGTCATGGGCGAGAACTGAACCGAGGAACTCCCCAGGTATGTTGTTTTCAGGTATTTGCAGCAGGTAAACAGACTTGGTGAAGCGAGGAACATTGTCATTTTCATCTAAGATCTTCACTGTAAAAGACTTGGTTGAATTCAAAGGAGGGAGCCCGTTGTCCTTAGCAACTATTGTGACATTATACTCATCCTGCATCTCTCTATCCAGAGGTCTGTCTGTCACCACTGTGTAGAAGTTATCATAGTTTTCTTCGAGTTTAAAGGGGACGTTGCCAAGCACTCTGCACTGGAGTTGGCCATTCCTGCCCGAGTCTTTGTCAGTAACTCTAACCAGTGCAATGACGGTGCCTGGAGGAGCTGCTTCACTGATGGCCCCTTGCCGCACAGACACAAAGCCTATAGATGGCCAGTTATCATTCCTGTCAAGCACTTTTACAGTGACTTTACAATGACCTGGGATTGGATTGGGACCTAGGTCTTTCGCCTGTACGTCAATCTCAATCACTGGACTCTCTTCATAGTCAATTTCACCCTGTATCTTTATGACTCCTGTCCTGGAGTCTATGGAGAACAGCTCCCGGATCCTCTCTGGGGCATAGCCACTAAAAGAATACACCACTTGTCCATTGTTGCCCTCGTCAGGGTCAGTAGCGTTTAAATCAATCAACACTTTGCCTGGGGGTGAATTTTCAGGGATTTCGACCACATAGGAGGGCTGGTCAAACACGGGGCTGTTGTCATTGGAGTCGATAACTTTTACATTTATTTGCATGGTGCCTGATCTGGGATACTCCCCACCATCGGTAGCAGACAGAATAAGGGTATGGTGGCTTCGCTCCTCTCGGTCTAGTGGCCTTTGAATCACTAATTCAGGAAATTTGGTGCCGTCCCCGCGGGATTTTACCTCCAAGGAGAAGAGATTGTAGTCATCACGTGTTATTTGATAGGTTTTCAGTCCGTTCTCCCCTGCATCTGGGTCGTGCGCGCTTGTGAGTGGAAAACGTGTCCCCGGCACAGCGTTTTCAGAAATATCAATATCAATCTGATCCGAGGGGAAAGTTGGGGAGTTGTCGTTGATGTCCTGAATGTCTATTTTGATCATGCATATCTCTTTGTCATTTGCAAACACCTCCATGGACAGCTGGCACTTAGGATTCCTCTTGCACAATGTCTCCCGATCAATGCGTTGCTTTGTGTAGAGCAGTCCACTCTGAGGGTCCACGTCGATGAGATGAGGTGCAGAGTTCTCCAGCACCCTAAAGTTGGCTTTCTTCCCCTGACCTCCCTGCCCTGTCTGCTCCAGTCCCAGCCTGGCATCTTTGGCTATGTTCCCAATCACTGTTCCAGGTCCCTGCTCTTCTGGGACCGAGTAATTCAAGTTTTTTAATGTCAGGGCTTGAGCCCACAGGAGAAGGAAAAAGAAAATAGAAAGATACATCCCCACGGTGTAAAAGCACTAACAGTCTGTGTTTATTCGTGTCGTGACCTGTTGATGTCTCCTTGTGATTTTGGGTAACTCAGGTTCATATAAATAGTTCTGTTCATTATCCGAGGACTTGGCATTTGTCTTTGTGGATTGTCTTTGCTGCGTCTCTCTCCTCCAGCAATCTGTGGTGCTGAAGACCTAATTTATATTCAGCTGGGTGCTCCGACTCATCTGAGCAATAATCGCGATCCAGGCTCCAAACAGAATAGTCATTGTCAACGTTCACTTACACCACCTACAGGGGAAGAGCACAGGGGGGAGGGAGAGGATGTATTTAGTTAATGCATGTATGCCATTTACTTGCTCAAATATAAAAACTGCAATATTAGCCGCGGTGCCAGCGAGAAACCAGATCTACCGCTGAGCCCAAATGAAACACGGCTCATGTGTAATTCATCTCCACAATTATGGGGGGAGCTTGTCAATTAGTTAACCTTGGGAAGACACTGTGCGCTGCCTGATGCATGGGGAAATAATTATTCGCCTTACAACGTGCAATATGATAAACAGAGACATAAAATGCACTTTCCTTTTTCTTCGCTCTCTCAAATGTGCCACAAATGACCTGACCCGAGTGGGATAACGATCCGATCACACATGATGCTGACTGCAACTGGAAGGGAGGAACTTTAATAATAGGCTAACAAAACAAGTGGAGGTGGCCTATTGTGCTGGATATTTGAATAACTGTGTATAAAATGAGCTTCTTACACGCATTAACAAATCCGCCTAATCCGGATTTTTAAAATGAGCCTTATAAAAATTCAGAAAATGAGCTGCCAACATCTCAGCACAGCCGTGTAATTCTCTCCTCTGCCTCCTTTCTGTCTCTCACTGTGATATTCAGCGGTGGTTGGAAAAAGCTGTTGCACCCATATGCATGAGGGATTGGGGAGATTGTAAAAATGACACAAATAGAAAATCTAACATTAAATAATGCAACTTACCACATCAAAGGAGGAAATCCAGGCGCGGAAAAACGGTGTGTGAACAGTCACTGAGCTCCAGTGTGGATTCAAGGAGAGTTTCATCTCCTGTAACCACTTTCTGTAGAGGTACCACCCGTATCCCTCTCCGCAGGTGAACGGGGGAAGCCACACGCCTCCCACAGCACACACAGGCTACAGAGCAGCGCAGCGAAAATGGAAAAAAGTGCTCCAGAAAAGTATGACTGTAATGTCAATGAGCTGAAGTCCTCTCCGCTGTCTGATTAGGATGCAGCGGCTTGCCTTGAGCCCGCAGTGACTCACCGCTGTTCAGAAAAGGAAACTGTTCACAGAGAACACGGCGTGAAGAAGAAAAAGCGTGAAAATCCAGTAAGGTTAATCCAAAGTATTGTGGTAGATAGCGGTCAAGGCTTTTTACGCGTGCGTAACAGCGCTGACAGACAGAATCCGGAATAGTGGCATTTTGTCCTTGTCCGCTGTCCTCTTCCTTCAAAGTCCATACACAGAGCATAAGAGCGAAAAGAGCTGAAAATGTGACCATCAACGAGCCCGCGTCCAGCCACGAGTCCGTTTGAAGGTGTCAGAGAAAAAGCGAGAATAAATACGCACAGTTGGGTTATTGGGTATTTCCAACACGTAAAGTCGCCCTAAGCACACGGAGCGCTTCCTCTCACTGACTGAACTCCGGACACCGCATGGTGCATTAAACATTGTCGCTGCTCCTCCGGCAGCCAATAGATTTGAAGAGGTGGGAAGAGAAGGAGGGATTCAAAAGGCGCTCTGGGTACAGACTACAAATGATTGGTGGCCCCCAGTTCACCGGTAGCGCATCTGTGTTTTTTCAAATATCACGCTCGTCCTTGTTGTTTACAATAAAGGAAATCGTGCGTTGGACACGGTTTAGAAAAGAGGCACCGGCGCACGAGGCTTCAAATTCAGCTAAGTAATCCATCAACAAGACAAGGGCGGAGGAAATTGTTATTTTCGCGCAGGCCACAGTTCTGTACCGTTAATAATTGTGTAATAGGTGCAGAGTATACAGGAAATGCCTAATCATTTCTGTGTTTATTATTAGATTTACATATAGATTGAATTATTGAAATATATAGAACATGAGATAAGAGGCTGTTTGTAAGATAAATATAAAAATAATGAAAATTCATGTAGAAAATGTGAAGTTCATGCATTTTTTCTGTTTTTAAAGGAACAAAGAGATTGAATAAAAACACCTATAGGTCAATTTGCATATTTTACCTGCTGTGACAAAAAATTTATATGGTGATACTTATGGCATGAAAGAATAAAACCCTTGACAGAAACAGCTATCTATTATATCTACTTGTATATCTATATATATATATATATATACAAAAAACAACCTATGGAGCTTCTTAGAATTCATTTTGAATGTCAGCGGTAGTGTGCAATAATGGGAGTTTCTGTGCAATAGTGTCTGAGGCATTCTGTTTTATCAGACTTCAATAGGCACACAGCAGTTAGTTTGTGTGCGAGGACAGTAAACATGGACACAGCTAAACAATGGAAGAATGAAACACAAAGAGAATCATATCAACAAAGAGTCAAACTTATGGCAACAATAATACTTTCATAATGTTTAAAAGATTTATAGGATAGTGCAGTGGTGACTCAACAAAAACACAAAGAAAAGATATGCTATAAAATTACTAAATCGACTTATTATTCAATATATTATAGCTGGAACAGTATATTTTGAGACGTAGTATTTATTCCGGGAACATGTTCTTTGTTAAAGTCTGAAGAATTTGGGTATTTTTGTTATAATACGATTTGAGCTGTTTATTGCGAATAATGAGCTAATTATTGGTTCATTATATTATTTATTTGTTGCAGCTCAGGCCTTTCAATGAGCCTCTCTATTTAAAAAATGCTTTACTGAGAATATCTTACATTATTGTCATTGTGTTAGTGGCATAAAGTAGTTTCGGTATTATCGTTTGTAGCAGTATGTCTCTGTAGCAATACATTGTGCCTCAAAATGTGTCTACGTGCATCTCTAGCCTGTTTTTGAACCGTCAACAGTGTGTTTTCATTGAACTAGGCCTGTCACCATAATTACTATATCGTACTTATTGTTCACTACATGAAGGCTGGAACAGTATTTTGGGGGGGGGGGGGGTCATTATATTTATTGCGTGTACATTTTCTTGCCACTGCTGGGAAATTTGTGGTTATTTTTTGGCAATACGATAATAGTATTTTAGCCTGATTCTGAACCTGACCTGACTTTTTTTTCATTTAACCAGTCACTGCTATTTGGTTGTGACATATGCAGTGTGCCTCTAACAGGGCTAACTGGTATATTAAGCTTTTCCCAAATCCCGTAGAAAGAAGGACAATAACATCTTTCCCCTTGATAAAATTCACCAAACATTCTCTTTGTTCCGGCTTTAAATCCTCGATCTCGGGAATCGTTGACAACACAGAATGTACGGCTCTTCGCTGATTGGCTGGTGCCCGGACTCGCACTTCCAGGGTTTCTGTGAATTGTCTAGTTTATTCCGATTCCTGACCTAGTCGCTGGACAGAAATGAAGTTAAGCGGAGGCACTAGGTAGCGCCAGCCTGGCTAATAGTATATGTACAGGAAGAACACAATTTTTTGGGGGGGTATTTTGGGCAATAAAAACAATAAATTGAATGCAGAACAGATTTTTGCAAAACATTACATACTGCACCTTTGAGCCTGGTACTAGGAAATTCAAATGTGTGAAGCTGTAAAAGTGCATATAAATATATTTCATTACCATTTGATATTTTTAGCAATATAATAAGATTTGAGCCATAGGAGGTTGAATACATAACGTATATGAGTCATTACAGCTGCAAATTAAGTGTTTCAAGGTAAATGGCCACATTTTTATATAGAGCCTTTCCATCTTCAAGGCCCTTACATCAAGGAACCACTCATCCATTCACACATACATTCATACACTAGTGTACATAGGCGCTGAGGATGAGGTGGGTTAAGTGTCTTGCCCAGGGACACAATGACATCTGTGGGAGCTGGAATCGCGCCGCCAACCTGTGGGTCAGCAGATCATACCGCTAAACCAACTCAGCTACTGTCACCCATACTGGTATTTACTAGTAATTGTTGCAGCTCATGCTTTTTTTAAACAATATTTTAATTAAATCTGCTCTTGGGTTACTGTGTCAGTGGCATAAATTAGCTCCAATATTATCGTTTATCATTTTTATTGTGAAAGACCTAAATAGAACCTTCAGTGTTTTGAGTTAAACACCATTTGCAGCTGTTGCCCTTAAATCTCAAAGGGACAGATTACCGTCTACATTCAATACGTAACAGTAAATACATTCATATTAGTATGCAAGCAATCATATGTATAGACAACATGTCATTCACATCACCTCTCTCCATCCCCGGAGGCAGACCAAATGAATATTCAAAACCCAGATCAAAAGTCGGTCTTCCTGTACACACACAAGCCCTTTGAGTACGTCTATGGCATTCGCTTATAGATCATGACTCAAAGAGAAGTATCGCATTACAATCAGCAGGATACATGTTGTCACGCTGTCACTATTGTTTCCGTGTATTTGTACTACGATTTCAGCGTGTCAGCTTTGTCCTGGATAAACTTGGGTCTCCACCTCTCCCCTCGCTCCCCCTGACCTTTCCTCCTGACAGCGGCCGGCTCATTATTAAACAGGAGCTTTGATGTACTAATGCCAAGATGCTGATAACTGATGAAGGGAAATGCCATATCACTGTCCTCCTGGATGTCACCGGTGTGTGTCTGCTCAAAACAAAGGCCTAGTAGGTCACTGTGTTTGCTGCGGCGGATATCGGTGTCCAAATATCAGTTCAGTGGATATCCTAGTTGGGCGTATAAATTGATGTAACAAGACTATTTACTGGTCATGACTGGCTCAGAATTATTATTATTATGTATACAAAGTTGTTCTGTAGTTACTTGAGAGATCAGTAACAGCTATATAACACATTTGGATCAGTTTAAAGGAAATAAATGCTGTTTCCAGTCTCTGCACAGGTATCAGTTGGTATTAGGTATTGGCAAATTTGGTATCAGAACTGAGAAACATGGGTGAATTACCAAGTGCCAGCCTTAAATTACCCATAGGGCGCCTCCAACCCCCATCAAAAAACGCCCTATGCACTAATCCACTCCACCGCAGGGCACGCAAACACACACGGAGCGGACAGCGGAAAACACCCACAGCCACGCTCATCACTCCACAAGGACGATAAATGGAACGGAAGAACGAACCGAAAAAGCCAGTGCAATGTGCCACTTCTAGACACAACTGAACAACTGAATCACTGCGAACACGCCAACAATCCAGCGGTCCCAGACAGCACCCTCCCTACACGCCACAACTGAACAAAGCCGAGAGTCACCGTGAACGCGCCAAACGAAGTCCCACTGACTCATCCAACTGCTGTGTTTCGTTTAATGCGCCTTGTTGTCCGGTGCGGTTTATATGTGAAAAAAGTTGGAAAATAGACCATTCAATGACAGTGCGCCTTAAAATCTATAGCGCCCTATAGTGTGGAAAATATGGCACTCAAATAGCAAATAATGTATATAGTAAGTAAACACAAAACAGACACTAAGCCAGAGATAGAATTAAAGATCCAAGCCAGAACTACAAAACCTAACCCAGGACTATAGGGGTGCATTTACACTTACCGTGACTAATGGATATTGACTCTTTAGTCCTGATGTGATTTGGGGCAATACATATAAGACAAATTCAATCTTTACCTTACAAAAAAGGCAATCACATTATCATCTTATAATAATGAATCAGTCAGTGTGTTATTTATAAATCTTCAAACTCTGAAATTTTACAATTTAGTCAACCTTTACACTTTGAAAATCATGTTCAAAGTAAACAACAATCTCTTGTCAAAATCATCAGAGAATATGCTCAAAATCCAAAATAGTCAATATGAGCTCAGAGGTATAGCCATGTTTATCAAAAAGAAAATCAGAGCAAACATGAAATTTTGTAAATCTGTTAAAGGGGTGGAGCTCTGGAACATTTGTACAGAAAACCTAAAATTGTGCACCACTCTCTTCCATTTTATAAAGAAGTTTAAATGTTTAACTCTGAAGGTTTGAATTATGAGACTTAGTTTGTCCTATAGTACTTTGTTGTTCCTCTTGAATATAAACTGGTGTCAAGATGACACTCTGACAAAAGAATAAAGGGCAAAGGCAGAATAAGCTCAAGCTTCAGACTACACTTTTTCGGTCTGTGTATGTTAAATATGACTGTGAAATAATGTCACAATATAACTCCGACCGAAATAAATTAATCAACCAATGTAGATTTGATTTAGTCCAGCTCCTGCCCTGTTTCAGTCCTGGTCCCATTTTAGTTCCAATTAAGCTGTGCAGTGTGACTTGCGGTTTTCTATAAGCACGATATTGCCAACAGTTACAAAGGTATGTGCTCTCCATTAAGAATAAATTGTAAAAACCACTGGACTAATGCACATGGAAAAAATTTTACTTTCAAGGGAATTATTTGGGTTTGTAATAACATAATTGTTTCATAACCACCATAAATTATGATATACCAAAATGTTATAATCTGTGGTAAACTGTGACTCATTAGTTGTTCAGAATCAG